GTTGTTACTTTGGCGTTGTAGACGACGCTTAAAGTGAGGGAATTGTTTTTCAGAGGGCAGTCATTTTTTTTCGGAACTATCAAAGCACATCTGGACACTCAAAGACAATAACACCATTTTTACAATAAACTGGAGTATTTCTATAACCGGCTAATGACTCCAAGTCCCTGCATTTTTTTTAATTCAGTGGTCTTGCTTAAGAAATGGACGTAAGCCGTAATCAAAGAACCTTTGTCTTTCGTACAATTACTGTATATACTTATTACAATATGTGCACTATATTTAACAGTTGTTCCATGAGTGCACACCTGATATGGGTTGGCTATACCAATCTCGTATCCAACAAGTCAGAAAAAGGAGCCAATGAAATAATTGAGGAATTAGATTTTTCACTCGTTGGTAATGTTTAGTCCGTTTTAACTCTCAATCTCTCTTCAAATTAAAGCCACTAGAAGTCAGTGTCACATCTGATCGTCGAAACGGCAAAACTTGAATCACATAAGCAACGCTTAAGTTACGTTCGAGGCTGAATGGAAATTCAACGTTAAGCAATTTACACAGTGGACACAAAATACATTAATATACGATCCAAGAAACGTTAAAGGGTACGACATACAATATGAGTCAAGCATTCAGGTGTCTTTGAGTTCCAGCTTATCGGCAAGCGAAAACTTTTGTGAACAGTTTGATTGTGTGTTTTGCCTAACTGGAACGGAGCAAAGCTTGTGATCGAGGATAGCTTTCGTTTCAATATCCTGACCTCAATTTCTTGCTCCGAGTGTACGAGGTAAGAGTTATAACCCTACTGAGACAAATATTCGGTTTAATCAATAAATCGTTATGCATACCCTAATGTTCAAATGTTTTACTGCGTGGTAACGAACGGAGAAACCAGTATTATGGCTACTTAAACAGACCCACAGTCGAAGGTGAATTTTTGTAATGAAAGATCGAAAGATCCTGTTAGAGCGTAGATATTTTAACACAAATTCTTTAATTCCTAGTGAAATTTTGAAGGTAACTGGCCGTTTTTTCTGTTGTGGCAACGTTTTACCTTTTATTGACCATGAAGTGTTAATATCAAGCTAGTGCAAATGCTGTAAGTGAAACTTCAAATATAAGTACCATTCAATGAGGTTACATTGAAATTTTTGACTTTTACTTTTTGTTACCCACATGACGTTGACTAGCATTTGCTATAGTTGATTTCCACTGTACTAAAAGAAGTGATTGCTTCTAGCCAAAAGTAGATTTAACTGAGCGACACTTAGATAACAAATTTCCATACAAGGTTGTATATCAGATGATAACCGAAATTGAGAGAACCAATAAGAACACTAGAAATTTCTCCCCTGGAATGCCGAGACGACGTAGCGAGTTATTTGAAGTACTACCCTCGATTACAAGTTGATTTTGTTTCGTTCCGGTCATTTTGACCACGATATCATGGAAAAAAATATAACAGTTATTGTTATGTTCTAAACATCCGAACACTTTAAGAAGCATTTGGAAATGCGGTGAAAGTACTCGGTTAACAGCCACAGCACAAGGGAAAATGTGAGGCGGAATTAAAGTTGTAGTCAGATCACATGAGTAATATATTTGCAATTTCTCGAGAGTGAGGGCTATTATTTAACTAAAAATTGGTTCGTAAGTGCCTATCTGGGCTATCTGCAATAGCAGACAAAACCAGAATTCTCTTGAAAAAATCAGAGGACAAATTGCGTCCTGACGAATTTTTGTCTCGATTTTTGCATCCGCTTAAAACTTCAAAATTGTCAAA